CTGAAAACTTTTTGCGTCGGCGGCGAGGCAGGGGCCGTCTGCGCCAGCGGAAAGGCCGAAACGGGGATGCCGTTGGAGCGAATTGTGCCACCATGCACGAAGGGGAACAGGCGGAGGGCGCGGCCGTCGGCGCGCTGAAAACACACGAGACATGCCCGCTCGCTTCTGCGGAGCCTCGGCGCCGCTGGAGGCCCGCCCTGTGTGCTCTGAACCCAGACGCCTCGGGGGGGCCGGCCACGGGCCCCCAGACCCGCTGGACCAACCAGCCCACGCCACGACACGGTGGGGGGAGAGCAATCCGTGGACACTCCCCCGCTCTCCCCCGAGCTCTCAGAGTTGGCACGCGCGGGGGGAGACTGCGGTCGGGGTGCAGCTCCTCAGACCCACCGCCAGCTTTGAACACCGGGGGGCTAGGCGTAAGAGTGACCCTGGGTAAGAGTGACCTTTGGTGCGCAGCTTTAGGGGGCGCGAGGGAGCCGAACCCAAGGGCGCGGGCCGCTTATATCGCATCACGCTCGGCGATCGGGGGGAGCCCGATGATCCCGCACCAAAGGTCACTCCGGCGAAGGGTCACTCTTACGTGTAGTCGAACCGGGGGGAGGGGCGAGGCGCTGACCGACGAGCGTGGCATGCGTGGTCGCGACCTCTTGCCCGAGGCCTGTGCCCCTGCGAGCGCAGGAGGCCCCGAGCGGCCGCGCGCACGAGCGACCCGGGGCAAGGGGGTGGGGCCTCTGGTGCGCGGCGCGTGCCGCCCGCGGCCTGCCGTGCGACCCGGGCGGGGGCCGGCCTGCTCGGGCCCGGCCAGACGGAAGAGCACTGGGGAGGCCCCCCCTCCCCCCAGGACGCACAATGACTACCTACCAGACCACCCCAACCCAACCCGAAGACCCGAATTTCGGGTTGGGGGGGGTAAGGGTTCCACGCGTGTTTTTTCGATGTTCCCCGACGCCCCCCCCACTGGAAATCGACGGTAAATTTGAGCCTTCGGGTTGGGTTGGGGTGGTTTGGTGGGTGGTGACACAAGGAGCCGGCGGCGGGCACGCCGAAGGCCGACCCCCCGGGGCAGGGTGGGCCTCCGGTGCGCGGCGTGGGCCGCTCGCGGCCTCGCCATGCGACCCGGGCGGGGGTGCTCGGGCCTGGCCCCCCCCCCCCGCGCCCCCCGATGGCCGCGCCCCCTGGGCCGCTGCGCGGAGGGGTCCCGCGGCCGGACCCAGGGCAGAAGCGACGTGCAAGCGAGAGCCCATGGGGGCCCTCCGCCGGCCAGCCCGGGGAGAGCGGCCCCCGAGAGGGCACGAGCGCATCCCACAGGCACGAGGGCCGCCGCGAGAGGAACTGAGCACGAGGGCGCCCACGAGAGGCCACACGAGCATCCACACGAGCGTCCACACGAGAAAAGGCGCGAGGGCCCTCTCCCAGACCCCCGACGTCATGATTTTTTCATGACGTCGACCCCCAGAGGTTTCGACCCCTTCCTTGGGACCGGCTTTTCATCCTGAGTCGTTTTTTGACGGTCCCGAGGCCCGGCAAGGGCCCCCAGAGGCTGAAAATGTCGAAAAACCTCCCGTCGTGATTTTTTCCACTACTCGAGGGGGTCTGGGCTCCCCGAGAGCGCAGGAGCACAGCCCACAGAGCACGAAGCACAGCAGGAAGGCCACACGAGCATCCACACGAGCGTCCACACGGGAGAAGGCGCGAGGGCCCCCTCCCCGCGAGCGCAGGAGCACAGCCCACAGGGCACGAAGAGCAGCAGGAAGGCGCCCTCCAAAAAAAGAGGAGGAGGAGGAGGAGGAGGGCGACGTGGATGGAGGAGAAGGGAGGGCGAGGAGGAGGAGGAGGAGGGGGAGGGGGAGAAGGAGGCGGAGGAGGAGGAGGAGGAGAAGGCGGAGGAGAGGAGGAGGAGGAAGAAGATGAGGAGGAGGATCACCGCCACCTCGGCCTCGGGCCTCTCGGTGCCCCGGCCGTGCTCCGAGGCGCACAGGCCGGGCCCCGAGCGCTGGCGCAGCCCCGCCCCCCCCCCCCATGGGCACGTGCTGGGCCCGGGAGATCGCTGCGCAGCCTGCCTTAGGAGGGGAAAAAAAAAACACACCGACACAACGAATCGTCGATTCCCAGGAAAATGTGGGAAACCATTGGAAGGGGGGGGGGGGGGGAAGACGAAAACCCAGAAAAACGTAGGAAAATATGGGGAATCCTGTGATTTGTGTATCTATTTGTGTGTCCTTGGGTCCCTTGACTGCCCCCCCCCCCAGTGCTGGGTCGGGCGGGGGGCCCGGGGGGGGCATTTACAGTCAGCCCGTACAGGAAGGATGCGCGATACAGGCCTCGGAAAAAAATAGCGAACATTCATGCCACATTCATCTGGGAAATGGAGATGCTCTGCGAAAAATAACATCAACATATTCGCCTATATTCGCCTTTGCATAAAATTTAAATTAAAAAACAAAAAAATATACCATACCCCTTTCCTACCTCCAGACATGGGCCTCCCGAATGTCCGCACCGAGCCCAGGCCCGGCACGGAGCTGGCCAGGAGCGGCACGGGTGCGCCGCCGCGCCCCTCCCCGTCCTGCACCACCTCCTGGAAGTCGGCGTTTTCCGCCTCGCGGATCTCCGACAAGCGCTTCATCTGCGACTGGACCTGCGCCGCCTCCTCCCTCGTCACGGCCATCTTCTCCGCGAGCTCCTTGATGGTCTGCTCCAGGTCCGCCTCCTTCGGCGACGCGCGACAGGTGGGCAGGGCGAAGGGGGGGGGGGCAGACTCTCCGAGGCACCCCGCCTCTTAGAAACCACGATACCGTCTCGGAGGGCCTCTCGAGATTCGGGGCGCTGACGCCTGGAAATGGAAACGCAGCCAGCGTGTCGCGCCGAAGCGTGGTGGGTCAGAACCGGCGGCGCGACACGCTGAACAAAAACAGATCAAAACAAAAATGGCCGCAGAAGACCATCTCCCTCGCCCTGCCGGGCTCTGCAGAACGCCAGCTCCTTCTGCACCAGGTTCTCCTTTTTGTGGTCGGCGGCCGACGTGTCCCTCTCGTTGTCGGCCAGCTCGGCGACGCAGTAGTCCCGATGCTTGACCTCGTCCTTCTGCTGCTGGGACAGCTCTGCGGCCAGCTTCTCGACCTCGGCGATCACCTTATCGAAAACGCCCTCCTCGCAGAGCCAGAAGCATCAGCAGGTGGAGGAGGAAGGGGAGAGGACGGAAGAGAACCAGCAGGAGGAAGGAGGCGGAGGAGGAAAACAAAGGCCAGGAAGGGGGGAGGAGATGAAGAGAAGGAGAAGGGATGAGGAGGGGGATGGGGGGGGGGCGGAGGCGAGGGGGGAGCGGAGGGAGGTGGGAGGCGGGAGGCACGAGGAGCATGGGGAGAGGAGGGAATGAGCGGGGAGGTGGAGGGGGGCGGAGGGGGGGGAGGAGGAGGGATGGGAAGTGGAGGAGACATGAGAAGACGGATTGCGAGGATGAGGAAGGAGAGGGAAGCTGGCAAAATGGGTGTGCGGAGGAGCAGGATTGGCAGGAAAAGTAGCAGGAAGATGAAGCGGAGTCCGAAGGTGAGGAAGGGAAGAAGGATGAGGAGGATGAGGAGGAGGAGGAGGAGGAGGAGGAAGAGAAGCAGGGGAGAAAAGGCAAACGAAGGGAAGCGAGGGAGGAGGAGGAGGAGGAGGAAGAGGAGGAAGGAAAGAAAAGAAGGAAGGAAAGGGAAAGAGGAGAGGAAGGAAGAGAGGAAGGAGGAAGGAAAGGAGGAGGAGGAGGAGGAGGTCCACTGCCCATAGAGGGAGAGGGCAAGGGAAAAGGGGAGGAAACTCGGGGTGGAGCCGCCCACGAGGGCGACCCCGCCCCCCAATCCGTCGGACGAGAGCTCGCCCTCCTGGGCCCTGGACGCCAGGACCCCCATTAGCTCGCCTCGACGCGGCCCTGGCCCGAGCCCGAACGGCCCCTTGGGTAAAGCAGAAGGTACCGACACCTCGACCGTCGGGGCGTTGACCTAAGGAACCTTAAAGAAGGAACGAGGCCCCTCTTTTCCATAAGTTAACCTTCGATTTCCCATCGAAAACCTCAGGAAAACCCGAGGCAAACTTTGAAACGATCAAGGAACACCGAGCCCCTCCCCAACCCAAAAGGGTGCCCTCTTCAGGGCCCCGACCCCACTCCCCGGACCTCGCCCGGGGTGCGCTCGGACCAGGAGCCCGAGGCGAGCCCAGCGGGGGCGACGAAGGGCCTCCCAGGAGGCCAACAGAGGGGAGAACGGGCGAAGGGGCAGCGGACGGGGTACCAGCCTGGAACATATCCCCATCCCCGTGCTGGGCACCACCTCATCACGATGCCAATCCTAGGGATTCCCTTATTTTTTGTGGGCGAATCCCCAAGATCGTCATCGCCTTTTGGCGTGTCAATCTCAGGGGTAGGGATACGTTCGAGGCTGGTAAGTAGGGGTACCTTCTCCTTCTTGGAGCCCTCCTTGCCGAGGGGGCCTCCGGTGGCTTGCGGCTCCTGAAGCCGAGAAGGCCTCGAGACGAGCCCGGAGGTCCAGGCGGGGGAGCGGCCACCTGCCGCGACGAGAGGGAGGAGGCCAGCTCGCCTCGGCGCGGCCTCGGCCCGAGCTCGAACGGGGCCCTCCTTTCCGGGGCCTCCGGTGGCTCGCGGCACCTGGAAGCCAAGACTCCTCCTCCTCCTCCTCCTCCTCCCTCCTCCCCCCTCCTCCTCCTCCTCCTCCTCCTCCTCCTCCTCCTCCTCCTCCTTCCTCTCCTCCTCCTCCTCCTCTCCTCCCTCCTCCTCCTCCCTCCCTCTCCCTCCCTCCTCACCTCCCTCCCTCCTCCCTCCCTCCCTCCCTCCCTGTCCTCCTCCCTCCCTCCCTCCCTCCTCCCTCCTCTTCGAGGTCCAGACGGGGGGGCGGCAAAAGGTGCCGCGGCACGAGGGAGGAGGAGGCAAGGCAGACGGCGGGGGCCTCGATAGGTGTGCTCTTCGAGGTGCCCGCGCCGAAGAGTGCACACGGCCAAGCGCGGGCACGGGCGACCTCCGGACGGGGAGAGAACGTGGGCGCATCCCAGGGCGACCGAGGCGATTGCCGACAGTGCACGTTTCACCTCCTTGGGGCCTCTGCAGGAGGCCACATGCGAGCCCATGCCCCACCTCCCCACGATGCCTCCGAGGGGCGCATCCCAGGGCGGCGTGGTCTGCACACAGCCGCCGCTCCTGGCCAGGCCCATCCCGGGCCCAGGAGCGGCGCGTGTGCCTCGGAGCGGTGCATAGGCCCATCCTGGGCCCAGCACGGGCCCTCCTCCTCCTCCTCCTCCTCCTCCTCCTCCTCCTCCTCCTCCTCCTCCTCCTGACCCTCGGACGGGGAGAGCGCGGCTCGGCGTCTGGCCCGCTCCCAGCTATATGGCACGCTGACTGAGCCCCCTGCGGCCTGCGAGCCGCAGCCCCTGGACCCAGGCCGAAGGAACACGAGCCCCTGACCCCGGCTCACCCCAGGGCGACGAGACCTGCTGCGCAGAGCCATGGCTCCTGGCCAGGCCCATCCTGGGCCCAGGAGCGGCGCAGGTGCCTCCCCGGCCGAGCCAGGAGGGCGCACACGACGACGACGACGACGACGACGACGACGACGACGACGACGACGACGACGACGACGACGACGACGAGGACGACAGCGACGGCGACGGCGACGGCGGCGGCGACGGCGGCGGCGACGATGGCGGCGACAGCGTCGACGGCGGCGAAGGCGGCGGTGGCGACTGCGACGGCGACGACGGTGACGACGACAGCGGCGACGAAGACGACGACGGCGACGGCGACGACGAAGACGACGACGGCGGCGGCGGCGACGACGGCCACGGCGACGACGGTGGCGACTTCAACGCAGCCAGACAGCCTCTTACCCACCAGAGGAGGTGAGGGAGGAGGAGGAGGAGGAGGAGGAGGAGGAGGAGGAGGAGGAGGAGGAGGCGCGACCCCACACGCCCCCCCTTACGCCTGCGCTGCAGCGACGGCGACCACACGGCTCGGCTCGGCGGCGGCTCCTGCACCGCCGTGGCCAGGAGCGCCAGTCGCGGCAGCCCGGTCGCGCGCAGCAGCTGGGCGGCCCGCGACCGCCGGTCTCGGGCCACCGCCGTCTCCGCGTCGGCCTGCGGGCGAGGGCCCGTGCCCTGTCCTTTCTTTTTTTTTCCTCCGCGAGCCAGTGGGCAGGACCGAGGGGGCACTGTCGCCAACACCGCGCACGGGCGTGCACCGAGTGTGCTGGCTTCACCTGCATGCCAGGTTCAGCGCACACGCCTGAAACAAACGTTCGCACGACGCGGAACTGTCAAACAGAATTGTCTAACAGACTGTCGGCACGCCTCGGCTTGCCTCGTGCCCTGTTCTCCACCCTCGTCTCCCACCCACCCTGCTCCTGCCCCTCCCCCCCCTCCCCA